GGCTAGGGGTGGGGAAATGGGCGGGGCCATGGCCGGTGGAGGGTCCTCTTTTTTTATTTATGAGATATGGTAACCCTAAGTGAGTGGTGGTGTGACCTGGTGCATGGTTTGCAGCACCACTCAGGTTTGGCTCCCTTGGGTTCATGATAGCTGTAGATACAGTTGAACCCATGGAACCAGGCTAAAGCTGCCCCTAGAAAATAGTTACATAAAATATAGGAACTGGGCCTTATGTGAGTGGAATTTCTGAAAATGCTGGACAAAGTGCATGGGCTTGCAACAAGCTATTGCAATTTTTGTGTGTGTGTGTGTGTAAATACCAATCTTTCCCTACAAACCTTACCATTTTAGGGCTAGTTCTTGCACACGGGAATCTCCAGGCATTGTGTATTGTGTAATAGAGTTATAATATGCTGGCAATATAAGGGGAATAAGCTGATAAATCACTTTACGCTTGTGACCTAAATAATAATTTGAGCCCAGGTCTCCAGAAATTGAAAGACTCTTGAGCTAATTGACATGCTCTCCTTTAATAAAATTTGAAATCTGATTTGTAGCAATATTCTACATAATGGCCTCATCCAACTCCTGTAAAAGCCAAAGAAAAATTCTTACTGACTTGAATAGAAGATGGATCAGGTACTTGATGAAAGGCTGGGGGAAAAGTAATGTCTCCACCATTTTCCCCTATTAAAAAAAATCAGCAATGAGTAGTGGAAGTCTAACTCATATAGTTGAGTACTCTGGCCCAAATCCTAGAAGTCTTTACTCAACATTTACTTTTTGTTAAGAGAGGACTTACAGGATTTGACCTTTAGGCCAACCCTACTTGTGATGAGTAGTAACATACTTCACAAGTAGTCCCAATAGATTCAACGGAGGGCACAGAACCTCACCAGATCATAGCTCTGTTGAAGTCAAGTGATAGTTGTATGACATTTTATACCAGCTGAGGATGTGACCTCCACATGAGTAAAGGTGACACAATCTGGTACTCAAATACTATGATAAAGAAAAACAGACTTGGTTGTGTTTAACAGAAAATGTACTTTCTACCAGCAGCAAACCTCATAAAAAGTGAACTTTTATCAAAAACTGCATTTAGATCAGATACATCATTAGAGCTCAATAGAAGTCCTTAGGGTCAAATTAAGAAACTATATTTAATAAATCTCCATGCAATTGTGTGTGCCAGCAACATCCACAATCATGGAGCACTTTGACAGTGCTTTCACAGGGTGAAATTCATCCCTGGACAGTGGGGCCTGCACATGGCTCATCCACAATTTAAATCCTCCTTAATCCCTCTTTTGAGGATTTAAGTAGAATTTTTGTGTGGTCCTTGTACTGACCCACTGCCCAGGGTGAATTTCACCCTATGTTACCATTTTATTTCTACAGCCACTTTAAGCAGTGCCATCCTTACCAACCAAAGTAATTTCTTAGGGCAAATCCATCTCTCTCTCGCCCAAAGATGTTAGTATTGCTAGTTTGTTTGTTTGTTTGTTTTACCTTGTTCTTCTTCCTCTTCCGGCGGAATCTCAGAAGCTCTTTATGCTGCCTTGACACAAAATTTACAGCTGCATACTCCAGAAGTGCAGAAAATACAAAGAGCAGGCATACTGCCATCCAAATGTCGATAGCTTTGACATATGAAACCTATGGAGAAAGAGACTGAAAATATTAGAAACACAGATGTGAATTTCACTATCTCATAATACCAGGGGGAAATAAATTAGTGTCCCCAGACCACCGTGCTATTTTTACCAAAGAAGCACTAGCATGAAAGCTCCTTATATAACAGAGGACAAAAGGTTCAGTCTTTATTCCCTACAATTTAATTTTATGGGAAAATATATTTCTTGCCTCTTTTTATGAGCAAATCTTTGCACAAATGATTAGTACTTCATTAACATTTCTTCATGATCTGCTATACATTGCATTTAATCAAAACCCTGATAATGTAAAGGGAAAAGCAGAAAGATCCAGAATTTTTTTAAATTTCTGGATGGGTATGGTCCATTTTCTGCAGACATCTGCTCAAGCAGCACAAAGAGGGTGGCATGTGGCTAAAACTGACCAGCAAGAAACTTCTCTGGCCTGGGGAACTCCCCAGTGGCATAAAGCTAATGCAGTTTAGGGGCTGTGTTGGAGAAAGAAGAGATTGTAATAAAGCAGAACTCTGCTGACATTTGGTCCATTCAAACAGCTGCAGTAACTCAGCTGTAGTAACTCTTGCTAACCCCGAGGAAGTGCACATTGGCCTGTTCCCTCATGTGCTGCTCCTCTCCGGTGGAGCACAGTCACAGATGCAATCTGGCTCTGTAATCCAGGGCCTGCTCCTGCTCTGACAGAAGCCAGTTAGGGGGTTGATGTTTAATCCAACCAGAAGCAGAACGCAAATATGTGATTTTAAATGTATGCGGTTTTCTCAGATATAATAATAATTTGTTCTCTTTTTTTTTTCATGTATATGTAGTGTAATTGTTTTCCCAGTTGTTGTAGCTTTTAGTTTTCTACCTCTTAAGTATCTATTATAGGGCTGTTGTAGTAACTGGGCCTAGTTGGCTTACATAGGGATACAACCTAGGGTTACCATCTTTTAGTTTTTAAAAAGGAGGACACTCCATGGGGACCCGGCCCCGCCCCTTCCCCGCCCTCAGCCCCGCCCCAACTCTGCCCCTCCCCCTGAAAGCTCCGCCCCCTGCCCCTCCCCTGCTTCCCGCAAATCAAATGTTCACGGGAAGCCTGAAACAGGGAGGCAGCAGGTAGGCTGGGGCGGGGTGCGGCGCGGCTCAGTCCGGCCCTCCTGGCTGAGCGGCTCCCTGCGGCGGCCGGCCCAGGCCAAGAAGCTCTGGCCCCGGCGTCTCCCGCCCGGCCCCGTGACCCCAGACCTCGGCCCGGCCCCGTGACCCCGGCTCGGCACCGCGCCCCCGGCTCCCGGCCCGG